TTATCAGAATGYTTATATACAATAATTATAACAACTTATATTATGTAGGTATAATGAGTAGTATAGTATAGTTATTCAAATAGTCTTAAAATTAAGTCATGCCATATATGTATATCGGTAGTAATAAATAATAATCAGCATGACTAAGGATTTGTTTAGGTAGTTGAATATTAATATATAGGTAACGAAATACCACCATACAGCATTACTTAATCATTAATATATTTTATATACAATTAATATAATTTTACGGCATTGAAAGTTAGGTTTTATTSAACTGTATTAATAGATCGAAAAACTACTGTGGTGAATAAAGAACTTTACATAAAAATATAAAAATTAGTAATTAAATAACTATTATTATTACATAACAGAAATGTGAATTCAGAGATTATACTTGCACATAAAATGTGTGAATTAACTTAAGCAAGAGTAAAACTATTCAATGTKCCTTAAAAACAAAAATAATGACCCGCTGCCTATTTTAGGTTACACTAAAAAATATATATTTACTATYAAAAAAATGTTTTTCTAGATTAAAATCACATTATCACAATTTATTGATAAATCCATACGGGAWTAAAAAAATTTAAATATCGAAAACAAATTAATGTATATTACATTTTTTATATTATCTTTATTAAAAAAGCTATTATGCCATACTTTAKTTGGAATACTTAATCACTAAATACGGTGGATAAAAAACTAAACAAAAATTAATTTTTCTAAAACATGTATTATTATACTTAAAAAGTGAAAAAAATGTTTTTATCTTATTTAATATTGAGTATCCAGTAAAGAGTTGTTCCAAAAATGTATCAAGTACCTATTTAACTGTTCAAAGTTCTTATCAACTCTTAAGTAGACATTTTTTTTTTAATTATATAATATGTAATTTTTTAGTCAATTATTTTATAATGAATCATTATAATATGTCTTATACTTATGTGGTAATATGTTTATTATCTAAATCGTGTATAGATATATATTTTATCTATTGATCATAGAGTAATAAACGCCAACAAAATTTAATTTCGTACTTTTGTGCTTTATATTATTAATTATATATATCAGTAACTAATATAACCTAACCTATATCACAGATTGATTTTAATCCATGATTCAATAWATTATCATCAGAGCAGTTTTTGAATCAATATAGGTAATAATTGAGTAAAATAATAATGCATATTTGATACAATTTTAGCTATCAGAACTCTTAAACGTTGTTTTTTTGTCAAGAGTTAGAAGAGCAAAACTGTTAAAATACCGAAGAACAAAAAATCAAAATGAAACCTTGATTATTGTTTTATATGATATATTATATTATGCTTTTATGATTTGTTCTAAGTCTTTCTAGAAATAATAAATAAAAACAGGTACATGTTCTTTTTAAACTCCTCTAAATCTCGTTTATGATATTTTCTTTGCAGTTTTTTATTTAAAAATGTTTCTCGTGGGACCGTTTTACATTGTTAGCATGTCTATGTCATTATATCGTACACTGCATTATATTATACTACATACATGTACAATTATAAATAGTAAATAATATTTAAATTTCAAACACATATCTACCTAGAATACGTTTTGGTTGTTGTTTTTATTAATTTAATAAATCGATGTTTTACATTAAACGTGGGTGATATTTTACCTTTACACAAAAACATAATCGACACCGCTAAAATGATGTTTTATAGTAGTCTAAGACTCTAAGAGTTATTATTTATAAATTATAAGTAAGGCATGATGAATAATATGGGATAGGTACCTATACTTGTGTGTATGTAGATATATACTCGTACAATATAATATTAACCATATGACACAGGAAGATATATAATATTAACGATACAGACATAGGTACGTAACTATGTGTTCTGAATTTTGGTTAACTATTATAATATTAYGTCATATTATGTAGTAACATCCAGATCACGTTCAGAACTAGTTTCCGGATGGCTGATCAGTTTCTAAAGCTACCTAMAATTCACGTAGGTACACAAACATCCTAAAACTCTAAACTATTAGTCATATTGTTTCCAATCAGATAAATATCTAATTATCCCATCATTGAGTACAATTTTTTTAACGTTTGAATACGTTCGCTTCTTTTTTCTTCTTTGAAATAAAATGCGATTTTTATTGAAATAAAAATGATACACAATGTCGAATATTGAATCTTAATATATCCAATATTCACCCAAAACTAAAATTTTTGATACCGGCCGTTTTGTTAATGTACTTAGTTATGAATGATTACCAATTAGTTTCAAAATATATAAAATGTATTATTTTTGTGAAGATATCATACATTCATATTATGTATGCTGTATAATATAGGCTTTGTTAGATATTTTTTTAACTAAGAATATACGATTGACGATCTGATACTTTAAATTTATTCTTAAAAAAAGTTAAGTTTTTTTTATCGTTAACAAACTATTAAACAGTTTATTAATAATTAATATAAYAATCATATTTCTGAGTATACTAAGTAGCCAATTAGAAAAACTAAATAAGAGAAATATGTATGATATATATATAATATATATATTTTAAGAACAAAGTAAACGAACAGATACTTACCGATTCTTGAAACATTTACTTTTTCCTGTGATGATGTTTAAAGTTTTGAACAAATTCCTTGTAATATTACAAAAGCTCTTTTTGACAAATTGCTTTAAATGTAAGATGAACGTATAATTTATTCATTAAAAACATTCTTTTTTTTTGTGATCGTCGAAATCAAGAAAAAGTAAATATTACCTAATAAATCAGGCATTATATAAAATTATTTAAAACACTTTTTACATATAAAATAAATACTTAAAATATAACTTACAAATATTTATTTTCTGCACATTTCAAATATTATAAGACATTGTTTTTCACACATTATTTAGAAAAAATGTAAYATTGAATATTCTTATATTTCATTATTAGTAATAATTAATATTACATTATCTAATATGCAACATATAATATCCATTGCATATTTATTTAGTACATGATGTATGTAGATTAAAAAAAAAAATTATACTGATACAATAAGTATTTGATATTTGTTCAATAATACTTTGTGCCTTAATGGCACATTAACATAATTATCAAAAATATTATTGTCATTGTATTTTTTATTTTTTTCATGCATGCTGAAATAATACCTATTGATCATGTGTTTGTCAAATATTAAAATACTCAAAAGGAATATCGCACAATATTTCTTTACATTCATATCGAAGTATTTATTTTATATAATAAACCTTATAAATATGTAAAATTAAAATAAATAAGTTACCCGTCAAAAAAGGAAATAAGTTCATAAAAAACCATTTGAAATTTAATTAAACAACGCAAAAAATGTTAAAAATGTAAGTTAGAATTTTTATAAATCTTTTTTTCGCGAGGGTTCATTAATAAAAAATAATATTTTAATCAGCTATTTTGTTTGCTGCATAATATACGCTTCTGCGAATGAGAAATTCTTAAATTTTAAATAATATATGTTATATACATTAATAATAATGGTGATTAAAGATTTATACTGCGGTATAAAAAGTTTTTTTTAATATGTATACATACCTATATGATTTATTATAAAAAAGTTTTGAAATTTTTATTCTGTGTCAAGTAAAATATAGGTATTCAACTTTGGTAATGATTTATCTATATCAATTTTACTTAAAATAATGCACTTATATCATTCAATGATTTTATGCGAACTGCACACTATTARTTTACGCTTAAAAGTAAATTGCCACTAGGATACATAGTTTTAAATACATATTATGTATACTGTTAAGAACCACCGTTTTAACTAGTATATGTATATCTTAATATTAGTATAATATGTATATATGTTAATATTATTATATGTATATGTGTGAGCCGTCGTCGGGCTCAAGGAATGTGCTGATGAAGCCATCGAGACCCGACGACCGGCCTGGACGCCTCGCGCATAGAAGGCGAGTGCGGCAGTCCAGGATTTGAGACAAAGCATTACGTTTGTACAGAACATTCAGAGCCTTATTTTTCATTAATATAGTTGTACGTTTATTCTTAATTACAAATACAGAAAGTTAACCAGTCCTAAAGTGTTTGTGAATTTATTTGTGAGGGCATCTCAGGATCGTCCATAACAATACTTCTATATTTATTATAAATTTGTAGAATATAAATCAATATTTACTCTAGGTATCACATTGTTATGTATTATACTGATATTTTTAAATTATAAAAAAAACCATTTCTATTTAGAATATTAATATTAAAAATCGGATCGATATTTCGGATATAAGTCCACACAGTGGCACACACCATATGGGAGTGTATTACTGATTTATTTTTTCGTGATTTTTATTTGCTATATTATATTTGGGATGAAAACAGAATCGTACAATGCGCACATTCTTACTTTTATTATCCCCATCACCACCACTACCACTACCCATATCGTGATCTTTAGGGAATATGTTATGGTATAACTAATATTTTCCGAGTAATATAAAGCAATTTAATACCTATATATACCTACTACTGTATTGTACTGTAATATACGAAGAAGAAACTTTTTGGCCCCTTGTGATGAAAATACTGCGCTATACACTCAACCAACCATCTAAAAACTATCTGTACCTACTACTAGAGTCGTTCCAAAAAACTAATAAGCAAATACTATTATTATTATTATTATTATTAAAATTATTRTTTTTATTTAAATCCACCCCATTGTTTCGGACTGTAAACGAGGAACCTGCAGCAGGTTTGAAATCGTAATTAATCATMAAAACAATATGCATTCTCTTTATTTACTGTGTGCTTGAGCGAATTCATCTTTTGTATTTTTTGACGTTTGGCACATAGTTTGGCACAGCACAAAATGAAGAAATGTCACTCCAGACCGTTATTAAAATATGAAAAACATTCCCCTCCTCCTCTGTAGTAACGCAACAAGTGAACCTGACAACGATAACTTTAATTTGTTTTGTTTGTTTCAGACGATGATTGGAGTGGAGACGGTAAAACCAGAGGGGTTGCTGAACAAGCTGGTAAGTGGTTTTTTATAAATCGCTACCTATATAATATAAAGTACTGAAGCAGCTATTCGGCAATAGCAAAAACAACAACTTAAAAGTATTATATTATTTTTCTATATTTTTTTGCATAATGCAATTGTTGTGGGATTTATACTACAGATACTGATTTTCCATCCCATTGTCATGACAGATGATACGATATGTGTAATAAACACATTTTCGGTATCAACGCATATGTTTATGTTTAGGTCTAGGTATTTATAGTGTCTAAACAATAACATATCATGCATATTTATTTTAATGTATTGATTTTCTACAATACACTATTTGCTCTTTTTTCTTCTCCTATTATTGTGCTGATTTTGCAGATTTTTAAATGTCTCGCCTGCTGCTGACAACACCCTCCAATTACTTCTATCACGGACCCATTCTTAAATTTACATTTCGAATTACTGATACTGCACTCCTTTATGTCTTACAATTTTTATTATCAGTGTTTTCACTGTGGTCGTGGACTTTTGCCCGATTGCCCGTTCTCATTTTTGCCATTTTATTTTGCTTGATGAAAATATTTGTATTTTAGTACTGTATTCATTAATTTCGAAAACTTATTCAAATRATAGGTATATATAAGTGTATAACCGTGAATGTGACATCCGAAAAGTTTATACATTTTTGTGTAAATTGGTTAATTAAATTTTTTGACATTTTATTTCTTGTTAGAGAGAAATATTTAGTATTAAAAAAGAAATCATTCTTAT